TGGCCCGTGCAGGTGCCAACCCCACAGCAGCTGCTTACAGACCCTCGCGTCCTACTGTGGATGATGCCCCTGGCATGGCAGGAAATGTGACCTCTTCCTGGAAGTGCTATCAAGAGTCAGGAAGCGGTGTTTGCCCAGGTACTGAATGCAGGTGCCCCTCTACCCTGTGCATGTACTACCCTTTCAGGAGCTTCCCACCTGGGTGACCGAAGCCCCCATGCACAGAGGAACAAATGGCGCCCAGGCGGCCAGGAGGCACCCAGGGAAGGGGCAGTGCCAGCCTTGGGCCTCTGCTGCCTCCCACTTCCTCCCCCAACAGCCACGTCTCCTCAGGGATGGGAAAGGGCGGCTGGGCTCCCAGCATTGCCATGTGCGGCTGAGCCCGGAGCTCCGGAGACACAGGAATGTGTCCGAGGCACCAGCAGGTTCTTTGCTGCCCTGGGGAATGGATCTCCAGGCCACTTCCTTCCAAGCTTCTAAAATGTTCATTTTTGTGGTGCAACAGAACTTTGTAGAACTTTAGATTTCATTTCTCTGTGTAAAAAAGGCTTAAAGGATATCAGAATGTTTAATAGCCAAGGGGTCCCGATACCACCTTTGGTTGAGTTTATTGAAGAGCCAGGCAAACATTAACCTTTGATCCAGACGGGGAATAAGCTTCCCATGAGGACCCGGCGGGAGGGCGGCTGAGGCTGAGCGCAGTTTGAAAGGGGACCCCGGGGGCCACATGCACTGTGCAGGATTAATCCCTAAAATGCTCGATGGCTGGAACCGCTCATCAATACAACTAACTTCAAGGAAAGTGGAACAAGTGAAATTATTTACATTCTCAATAAATATGTTCAGAGCAAGAGTAAATACTGACTTGATTTTTAAAGTTCAGTTACATAAATGGAAGCTTTTGCATTTAATCTGGGAGAACAAGTTTTCCAAGCAAATAGCACCTGCGGTATTTTCTTCCATGGCATCTCTTCATCCCATATGCCTGGAGGACCCCCAAGGCCGGGGTCCTCAGAAGGGCAGCTTCCCCAGAGAACGCCACCCCGATCAGGGGAGAAGCCTGTTGCTCGGCGGGGGACTGCGTCCCTGCTCATCTCAGCCCTGAGACAGGACGGGGAGGCCAGGCCGCACAAGAGGAGGCCCTGCAGCAGCCAGACAGTGGGCGTTTGTGGCCTAGTCAAGGCTGGAGAGCCGGGACCGTGTCACGTTTCTGACCCAGTTTCCCATTGCTAGGGATTTCAGACTCAGATCCGTGTAACTGCCGGTGTTTCCAGGCCAGCCCTGCCAGGGGCAGCAGGATGGGCCGGGCCCTCCCTCCCGCGGGGCCCTGCGGCAGACCCTGCAGGGACAGGGAGCCCGCCTGCGGGGCCCATGCAGGCCGCCATACTCTGGGGCTGCCACGCTGTGGGTGGGTTGTGGTGGGGCGTCCTGCCCCTGCAGGCTTGACATGGGCTGGCCTGGGCATGGCACCATCGTGGGCCAGCCTCCCCTGCAGCTGGGGCCCACCCACAGGTGGGCCTGGGGATGACATGGGGGGGGTGCAGGGTGGGCGCCAGCAAGGGACACAGCTGCTCTCCTGCTGTGGTCAGCACGGGGGACAGTGACCCACAGAGCTCCCAGGCTGGCACCCTAGGGACTCTGCACAGCCTCCCAGCCATTCCTGGGGCCTCCATGATCAACCCTGTGTCTTCTTGGCCAGGAGAAAGGTGACTGCTGCCACCACCAAGAAGCCTGATGGACAGTGGCTCATACTTAGATAAAAGTGTAACCTTGGCCTGCCTGCAATCAGATGCACTGCCCTGGCTGGGCTGGTGTTTCCATGTGATTTACGTTCTCTAAAATCAGCACACTTGCTCCACTCTGCGCTGGCACCTCTCACCTGCCCACCCCTGGCTGCTCTGCCCACTCCTGGCTGCTCTGCACTTCTGTCTGTGAGCTGCAACCTGGGCCCTGCAGGGCCTTGCCTTCCCACTGCAGACAGCGAGCTCTCAGCATCTGAAAGGCTGGGAGGCAACCTGCCTGGGGAAGTGGGGCTACCTGGGCACATGCAGTGTGCACTGCCACCTTCTGCTGTGTGCACAGGACAGAGCAGCCTGCTCCCTATCAGCCACCTTCTCCCTTAGTACGTCCCCCATGGCTCCTCCCCAGACTTACCTGCCCTGGGCCTCCCTCCTCTTCCTTAGGGGACTGCTGCCTGGGGTGACCGGTAAGGGCCTTCCTAGGGCAGGGCCCCAAAGCTGAGCCCAGCCTGCAAAGGCCTCTCTCCTCTGAGCTCTTTTTCGACCCTGCTCCATCCCACCTCCCTTCATCCCTCCCTCTCTGCCTCCGGTGCCCTGCCTGCAAGCACACCTGCAGCCCCTGTTTCACAGAGTGGAGCCTGCTCTTCTCAGGTGTGCTGATACTTTCTACTTTGTTAGAAGGAAGCTGAGGCTGACTCACCAAGCAGGCGTCTGGCGCTTCCCACCCCGCGCCCCAGGAGCGAGCGGTGCTCAAGCTCTGGGCTGAGCCCAGCTGGGTGCCAGGGGCCCCAGGACCTACAGCAGCTGTGCCAGGGTCCTAGGATGGCAATCAGGCCTTGAGGTGCCTTCCTGGGGACAAGGGGACACAGGATTGCTGCCTGACCATGTCTCAGGGAAGGCGAGGCTCTCCTGCTGTCAGTGACCAGGAGGCCGGTGAAGGCCGTGAACTCTGGCTGATCAGATGCAGCCAGAGATTAAACGGGCTTGTGGAGTGAAAACAAGTCAAACACGGAGAGTCCATGTACCCTTTCCATCACCTACTTCTCTGCAGCTGAGCCTTTATTAAAACGCTTCCCTCAGAGGAAAATGCTCACAGCTTTTCTGGGCTGCACACTCAGATGTTGTGTCTAAAGGTCAGTTGGTGAGGAGTGCAAATCCCAAGGTAAAGTGCAGTGCGGGTGGGGACGGAGCCCCCTTCCACAGAGCAGGGGGGTCGGCGGCTGCCCTCCACCTCAGAGCTTGGCCTCCACACCAGGTAGGGGTGAGAAGAAAATGCTTCAGATGCGCTTTGATGAAATGGACATGTCCACTTGTCTTAGGGCCTAGCCTTCCTGGGAGAATAAGCACCACCCGTGTTGCTCACCCTGGATTCGAGGCTGCACCACAAGCATGCACTTCTGGATGTGATGCAGGACCGTCCACCACCCGCTGTCGCTATGCACCTGCTCCAGATGCTACGCACCTGCGCATTTCCGACTGGCTTGTTGTGATGCTATGATTCATAACACATACGCAGCTGGCTCTGTCCACAGCGCCCCAGACCCTGGGGATTTCCTGAGCAGCAAGAGCCATAGCAGCATTTTTTGTTATAATATTTGGTTGCTTGTCTTCAGTTCCTGAAATCGCTTCAGAGCCGTGAAGGTGAAATGGTATCTCAGTATTCGTAACAGGCCCCTTGCCACCGCCACTGGGTCTGTGCCCACGAGGAGACCTGAGGATGGGGCTGGTGGCCAGGGGAACCAGTCATGAATAGAGGATTAGGGCTCTCGGTCCCACTCTGATTTCCAGGGAGAGACAAGGGGCCAGTGATTTAATCGGCCGTGCCCAGTAGTGAGACCTCCATGAGAACCTGAAGGGCTTGAGAGAGGTCTGGGGGGCTTCCAGGATGGGGAGCCACAATCCTCCAGCCTGCCCCGGTGTTGGGCCACAAACTCCATGGGGTTGGGAACCCCTTTGTGGGACCTCATCTGGATCTCCTCACCTGGCTGTTGATTTGTACCCTTAACATCCTTCATGACAAACTGTGATCTAGTGAGTAAGCAGGGTCCTGAGTCCTGTGAGCTGCTTAGAGATTAAACTCAAGGACAGGGCTGTGATCAGAAGCATGGGTGCTAACCTGGACTTGCAACTGGCATCGGGAGTGTGGGGCGCGGTCTGTGGGACTGAGCCCTTAGCCTGTGGGGTCTGACGCCGACGCCAGGTAGATGGTGTCAGAACTGAGCTGAACTGTGGGACACCCTGCTGGGGGCTGAGGTGGTGTAGGAAAAACGCTCGTCAGATATGGATTCAGAATCACAGTGTCCCTCTTTTTTTTCCCATTGATTTGTATGAGATCCTTATATAACCAGGGTATAAGCCCTTTGTCACCTCCGAACCGGCACAGCTCTGGCAACGCGTGGCTGTCTGTCCAGCTGACCGCCCAGGCAGGACCCCAGTCCAGCATTCGGGACCAGGACACCAAGGGAACTCAGTCAGAGACCAGGGGCTGTGGGGGAAGAGCCCTTGGCAGTTCTCGGTGGGCCTAGCTCTGTGGAACCTTCTCCCTGGGACTGTGCAGAGAGGCGCTGTGCACCCACGCTGTCCCCAGCTTGCTTGTCTTCTGGGGCTCGAATGGTCGCTCAGGCTGGGCACGTCAAGGTGTACCTATGGGATCCCGGAGCTTGGGGCAGGGCTGGGGGTATGGTGGCAGTGACCTGTGTGCCACTGTGAGAGTTACAGCCTGGCAGGAGTGACCAGCATCCTACCAGTGGGGCACGGCCCACTGCCTGACCACTTGGACCTCCGGGGGGGCACTGGTGTTTATCCCAAGCTTCATGATAAAGCACAGAGGTCTCCTCTAGGCCATGGCCACAGCTGATTGGTGTCTAGAAGGACTCCTTTGGCCACAGAGTGGACAAGAGACTCTCAGGGACCAAGAGCAGGGAGCCACTCAGGACTCTGGGGTCATGACCCCACAAAGGGCACTTGGCTGGCAGTGGCTGTGGGTGGGCCACAGGGCTGGAGCCTGGATATGTGGGGGGCCCGCAGGAGAGCTGACTGAGAAGAGGAGGGCTTGAGAGAGGCAGGGTGTGGGGAGCTGGCCTGGCAGGGAGATGGGTCCCGCAGGCATGGGCCCCAGGGTGGGGTCCAGGTTCAGCCCAGCAGACCTGGTGGGCTGGGGCTGTGTCTCCCAGGGCTGGGGAGACGGTTGAGGGCATGGGGGCAGCAGAGGGCTGGGTGGCGGGCTCAGCAAGAACGTGCCCCACAGCAACATTTTTCCCACACAGACTTGTTTTATTTGGTGAGAGCCTCCTGAGATGCTGACTAGGGGGACAGACAGTGACAACGCCGGTTCTCTACAGACTACTCGGTGCCTTGGGAAGGGAGGGGAGGCCGGGTCCTCTCAGCGCAGGTGCAGACGACCTCAGGTCAGCCAGCCAGCTTTGGCCGGCAGCAAGTTCCACACCCGAGGCGCCGAGGCCCCGGCAGGGATGCTGGAGGTGGCTGGGCACCGGCTTGTCCCCGGGCACAGGGCCTCTTCCCTGGGGGCAGAGCCCGAGAGCTCCTGGCTGTTTGCTAATGTTCTCCAACAAGGCAACACCAGCAAAGGGATTTTTCAGAGACCAGGCCTGCATTGAGAGCTACTTGCCACTCACAGGTAAGTCTGATTTAAGAAGGCATTCCTGGACATAAGAAGTGTTTGGATGTGCTGTGTGCCAGGGACCTGAAGTTCTGGCAGTCTCCTCTGGGGTCCCTGGTCTCTGGCTGCTGCCTGGGGCTCTGCGGGCTGGGCTGCTGGCAGGGAAGCACCTCTGCTCTGAGGAGATGCTCTCTGGGCCGGGGTCCTGGGGCAGACCGTGAGCGGGGCAGAACTCAGCTGTAGAAGTGGTGGCACCCGCAGGGAGCGTGGTTCTCTCGGCGGCAGGAGTGAATCCTGTTGCCACCACACACGCCAGGCCACCCGTGCTCGGCGGGCTCTGAGCAGGCTGCGTGCCCTGGAGATGCAGGCCCCACTTTTCGCTGTTGACACAGTTTCCTCCGCTTCACCTTCCGCACAATTAGGCAATATGATACTATGATATGTGGCTTTTTAAATATGAGCAAAGTAAATGATGCAGGAAGCTACTGAGAGGCTGGGTTTCCGGCAGAGGGCCTCTGTAATTACCACATTCCTCAGTGCCTGGGTCGGGGCGACCCTGGGCTGAGGCTTTATACAAATAGACACGGACTAGACGTTTCTACCTGCAGGACCAGCACAGATCTACGTCTATCACAGCGACACGGGTGGACAGCAAGCGTCAGAAGGCGAAGCGTCTGAGTGGTTCCCGAAAAGCAGAAGTCAGAGAGCGGAAGCGGCCCCCGCCTCCGGGAACTTTGAAGCCCTTCTTGGCTGGCAACTCTCGCACAGCAGGAGGCCGCCCGCATCTCCCTTCTCTGCTCCTTTCTACACCATGAGCCAGTGGCGGAGCTAGAAAGAAAGCAGGTTTATTCAGAAGCAAAGGAGTAGCTTCTTGGTTAAAGGTGCTCCTGGGCTGACGACTCTCGCTTGTGGCTGGGAGACCCCTCGGTGGAGCCCAGAGAGCTTAGGGCGCCTGGACTGGGGCCGCTTTGAGGTACCACAGGCCTGACGCCTGTACTGACTTCATGCAAACAAGTCATCAACAAAGACAAGGCAGAGAGCGCAGGTGCTGCGAGGGGACCAGGGCGTGTGTGATCTCAGCTGCTGGGTGGGCAAATGTGGGACTGGTCTGGGATCACACTGCCACTGGTAGTGACCTGGCAGTGCCCACAGGCCCTGCGCACCACTTTGTGGGGCTTCTGATCCCCGTCCAGGGAGAGGCTGTGCCCTCAGTCCTGTCCTGCTTTGTGTGACCCTGAGTGGGTGTGGGGCTGGCCCCAGTCACCCAGGGATGGACATGATTGATGGAAGCAGCTATTAGTCCTCCTGCTAATGTCCCCCCTCTCGCACAGCTGGCAGTGCAGCCTATTCTCAAGCACAAGCCGTTCCATCACTAAATGGCAGAGCCATGTTCTTAAACACTTTAAAACAAGGGCACGCAGGGACAGGAAGGCGCTCCATCTATTGTTGGTCACATGACAGTCTGTCACACACCCCCTCCCTCAGAGAACTTCTGGGGACTTTTCCAGCTCCAGCCTGGACACATTCACTGCCAGCTGGGTCTCCGGGGGGCCTGGAGCTGTGGTGGGGGCGTGGGGCTGGCAGAGCCTGGGAGTGTGTGACATGGTGCACTGTGAAGGAAGCAGTGGGTACAGCCTGACCAAGGTATGGGGCCAGGAGATGCCCAGTGGCAGAGCTCTAGAGTGGTTCCATGGTGGCCACTGCGCCGCTTCAGGCCAGGGTGAGGTGGTGCCACGCCTGGCCCCAGCTCTGAGGCCCAGCCCTGTGGGAGCAGCAGAAGCTGCCCCCCTGGAGGCAGGTGAGCTCAAGCACCTCTTGGAATCCCTACAGCTAAGGGGTCAGGTAGGGAGCTGCAAATAAGGGCGAGCAGAAGTAGGCAGCAGCCCACCGAGTGAGGTCAGCAGAAAGCGGAAACCGGAGAGGCTGGCACTGCGGGAAGTACAGATTGAATGAGGCCCCAAAGGCCAAAAATTCTATCCATAAAAGGCAATAAAGGAGAAACATAATCATTAAAAAATGGGATAAAAAAGAGTAAAGAAGACAATAGACTCCAGCCCAAATGTATCACTAGTTACAGTAAATGGATTAATCTGCCTGATTGAGTCAAAAATTCCAGGTGTACACATAGTTTATAAAAGACACCTAACTTTTAAGATCATTGCAAAGTTGAAAGTTAAAAGATGGCAAAGATATTTCAGGTAAATGCAAAAGAACCCTAGTACAGTGTAATTCATCTCAACAAAATGGACTTTAAGAGTAAAAGCATTACAAGGAGAAATGGTGGGTCAGGTCACCAGGAAAATGTAATAATCTGAAACATATTCTCCTCATAAAACAGCCTCAGAATACATAAAGCAGAAATGGGTAGAACTACAGGAGAAAATCGGACAGAGGTGCTGTCAAGGTGGGCTGTTCCATAAACATTTCCCAGTCACTGATTGTTGAGCAGAGCTGAAATTGGCAGTCGCAGAAGATTTGAACAATATGATTACAAGCCTAACCTGATGGACAGAGAACTATGTGTCACCACATTCATCTGAGGTTACATGTAATGTTCATAAGTGTTGGTTAGGTACCCAGTCATACAGAAGTCTCCATGTGCTTCCAAGAATAGGTAAAATAGATGTCTGAGCACTGTGCAATTAATTTAAAACAAAAAGATAAATAAAATATTCCCAGATGTTTGCAAATGTAAAAGCAACTCATGAGCTGAAGAAGTCACAATGAAAATGAAAATATACTTAGAACCAAATAAGATGTCAGAAGATGTGGGATGTGGCCAGCAGGGTATTTTGAGGGACATTCTTAGCCTTTTCCACCCGCACCTCTTGCTCTCCCTGCCCCTGTGCTCACATCCACTCCACGTATTCTGGATGCTGTCTGCCCCTCTGTAGGAGAGGGTCCTCAGGGGGCCTGGCAGCATGTAGGCATGCTCTCGAGCAAATGCAGCCTTGTGGCATCCGAGGTCTGTGCCAGGAACAGGGAGAATGTTTCTGGGTCCCCACCAGGGCAGGGGTGGCACTCACCGTGAACTGGCGCACCTCCCCACCATCCACCTGCTCGCGCTCCTTCTCAGGAGTGATGGCATAGGCCAGTTTCTGGAAAAGAAGGAAGACTATATAGGTGTGGAGTCCTCTGGTCACCATGCAGACAGGTGTCAGAGCCGACAGCCCCATCTCCTTAGACCCTGGAGCACAGTCCATCCAGCCAGCTTGAAATGAGAGGCAGGCTGGAGAGGGTGTCTCTGGGTCAGCTAGCCCCAGGCTCCAAGTAAAGGTGAGTGGCCTCTGGTCCTGAAGCTCCCAGGAGAGAGGGTGCTCGGCCAGCACCTGGGCAGTGCTCGTCCTACCTCCAGGGCCCCTCCTCTCAGCAGCTTGCCCTCTTTGACCCTCTGAGACCAGGCTTCCTCTCAGGTGGGTGGGCCCTCTGGGTGGGCCCTCCCCTCCCTCCCTGGGTGGGCCCTCCCACACATCTCCCAGGTCCACCTTGGCTGATGAGATTTCAGGTGGTTCACATGTACAGTTTGACTGGTGGCCTCAGGTCCTCTCCTCCAGGCCAACACAGAGGGGTCTCCCACCAGGCCAGCTGCCCACTCTTCAGGCCAGTGAAGGGCCTGTGGAAGGGGTCTCCACCCCGCAGTGCCATCTGGCTTTGCCTCCCACCCCCAAGAGGCTAGGCATCCTGGGGCCCTGCGACTCTGGCCATGTGCTAGGCCTGCCCACTCCAGGCCTGGCCTGCCTGCTGAGGGCCTGTCCGGTGCCAGCCTCTGAGGGGCACTGGAGCAGGTGCCCGATCCAGGGGAGCCGTGTGGCCCAGGAGGGGTCCTTGGAGCAGCCAGGGTGCACCAACAGGGGTTTCACTGCCCCCTCCTTCCCAGGACCTGGGCTGTGGGCACAGAGTTGCTTCCAGGAATCCCACAGGCAGCTCTGAGCAAGCGTGTGGGGTATTCCCACCAAGGAGGCCTATGTCCTTCATTTCTTCCAGGATCCTGTGACAGGCTCACCTGCCCCCTCTTCCATAAGTGACACAGGAGCTTGCCTGACCGTGAGGCAGAAGAGCAACCCCCTGCCCGCATGCGGGTTCCTGCTTGACAGCAAGCCCCGCCCCTGCTCAGCCTACTGTCACCATGCTGTAGAGCACGCGTGCACACACAGAGAAACACAAGCTGCATGCACACATGCACGGACACAGGCAGGCATGTACCTGCGAGCACCCGCAGATACACATGCGCCAGGTGCCCTGCATCCTCCCGAACCAGCCCGAGGTCCTCAGTCTCCCCTTCCTCCCCCGTGGTCTCTGCCCCCTCCAGCTCTCCTGCTGGTCAGAGATGAGCAGGTGCAGCAGATGTGGGGCGTGGACACCCACCTGACCTTGGTGGCCTCACAGGGGGGAGAAAGGGCAGGGGGAGGGGGCCCCATCCACATACACACCTCCCGCAAAGACCCAGGCAAGCCGCAGAACTTGTAGGCTGCGTAGATGGGCACCATGGACATGGAGGATGCGGCAATGGCCCAGCCCAGCACGTTGGCCCACTCCGGGAAGACGTAGGTGCCATAGTGCGGGGGCCGGAAGGTCACGATGCTGACCACGACCACGAACTGGAATGAGGGTGGCGGTCAGGCAGCGGCTCTCGGCTGCAGGCCGTTAGGAGTGAGGCTTTCCCACAGGGGGCCTCCCAGCCCTTTGCCAGTGTGTCTGCTGGATGAACCCTGGGGCTACAGGGCAGTCGGGTGGGGGAGGGTGCACCTGCTTTCCACTCTTCTGTCTGGTTAGCAGGATTCCCTCACGTGTGGTCACATCTGGGGGACCCGAGTGGACAGAGAAGCGTAGTGACACTTGGTGGAGCTCAGCACCCGACTACCCTGCTCTCTGGAGTGCAGCTGCAAGGCGCAGGTCGGACACTCGGCCGCTCCTGAGTGTGTGGGCGCGGCGGCCCCATGAGGAGCGCCGTTAACTTGGGAACGGCGCCCTGCCTTCCCCTTCCAGCCGTGGGCTGGCCCACGATGGGGCAATGCCTCAACCACACACCTGGCGGGCATGCCCCTGGTGACCTTCGGGCTGGCTGGGGTAGGAGGGCCAGCGGCCGGGGAGGCGCTCCTGCTCAGACCTGGATGGCTCTTGAGCAGCCCCCTGGGGTCTCCTGCCTGGACCCGGCAGGTCACGCAGGCTTCCTGAGCTGTCTCTGTCACGACTACAACTCTGCCGCCAGAGCACCACGGCCACGGACTGTCCACACATGTTAAACCAGACAGCTGGCAGGCTTGGCCTCTGGGCCTGAGCTTGCGGCCCCTGCCCCAGGTGTTAAGCCAGGAGGCTGCTGGCTGTGCTGCCGGAGCCATGCCTGAGGAAGGCCCAGGGCAGCGCCAGGACAGAATCTCGGCCACTCCCGTCCTCAGTCCTCAGGGTTTCAGTACTTTTTGCCCCGGAGAGTCTAAATCCTATCCTGGTCCCTAAGGCAGAAGTCAGCTGGGGGCCTTGCTGTGGTGTGGCCGTGGGCCGGATGCACATGGGCCCTGACCGGGGAACGTCACCCAGGATCCCAAGAGGTTTCTCAGAGGGTCCAGGGACGAGGGCGGTGCCTTCAGGGGACCAGAGCGGATTTTAGGGCCAGCCTGTCCTCCTGGCTGAGTCCCGTGACCCGCCAGCTAGGCTGCAGAGACCCTGCCCCCTGCGCAGCTCATGGGACCCCCTGGGCCTCCCAGGGCTTTGGGGCAGGCATGAGAGCTTGGGAGGGGAGAGGCCCGTGGCCCCTTACCAGGAGGAAGCAGGGGCTCACGAACTTCCAGCACAGCCGCCAGTAGAGGCTGGGCCGCTGCCCAGTCATCTGCTGGATGTCATCGCTGAACTGCCGCACGCCTGCGGGGAGGTCGCCAAGCAGGGGCTCAGGAGCCTGTGGGAGTCTCCCCGCAACAGGTCCCCGCCCACCCCGGGGTCCCACCCACCAGGCCCCGCCCACTCTGTCCTGCCCCGGTGGACCTCGAGCTCAGGCTGCCCACTGGTGCCCAGCCCCATCCCAGACCATGAGGGGTCTTCCTGACCAGGGAGCCCCCACACACGTCCTCTGTGGTGACACTGGGTGACGTTTGCTCCTCAACCCTGATGAGCACCAAGGAGACCTGAGCGGCCACCCCCGTGCTCCAGGCCTGCTCTCTGCCTCCCCATCAGGTCCTCCCTGTGTCCCACCCCTGCCCCTACCTTCTATCTACAATCATTATTTATTTTCACTTAAATGTTTGTGGTAAAATACACATGACACAAATTTACCATCTTAATTAACCATCTTAAGTGCACAATTCAGGGCATGAAGCATGTTCCAATATTGCGCAGTGTCCTCACCATCTGTCTCTGGAGCTTTCTCATTTCCCCAAACTGAAGCTCTGCCCCATTAGCCCCTTCCTGCCTGCCCTCCCTCCCCGCCTCCCCTCCCTCCCCGGCTCCCCCATCTTCTGTCCCCAGGACCCGGGACAAGGCCCAGGGGCTGTGACTCTGGCTTCTCTCACTTAGTGTAAGGTTTGCAAGGTTCACCCTTCTTGCAACATCGTCCAAATTTCCTTTTTAAGGCTGAATAATATTCCATTATATGCATATAACTATTTCTTAAGGAAAACTATTCTAGAAGCTCAGTGAACTGTTTTTTCTGCAGAAGATCTCAAAGTGATTTCTCCTGTCCTGCATCTGGCCTGACCTCTGGTCGTGTGACCGCAACTGGCCTGCTGAGCCTTGGGTAAGTCTCCCCTGTGTCACATTTGGGGACAGATCAGAGACACTTCAAGTCAGAATTGCCTCTGCACACTCCAACCTGGACACGGAGATGGACCCAGCAAAGTAGAATGGAGAAGGGCAAACCCAAAGGCCAGCAAAGTGGAGAGTGTTCCTGAGACCCCTTGGCCCCTCCAGGTGTGGCTGAGTCCTCAGCTCGAGGGCACAGGGCCTCGGGGCACAGAGAGGCTGCTGAATTCTGATGCAGCCTCACCAGAAACGCAGACTTACTTCTCTTGCATTGGAAGGAATGGGCTGGAAAAATACGGCAAGTCTCAGCTTCTGGGGCTTCCGGGCTGCCAGGCCACCTTCCCTGCAGCCTCCACCTGCACCAAGCTCATGGCCATTTGAGAACTTTTTATTTTTCCCTGCGAGGTTTTATTTGGGATGGTGAGGGGATTTACCATTTAAAGTGATAGACAAAGTATTGATCCCAGATGCCAATGAGGGCATGGTGTTTGTGGTGTTTCCCTTTTCTGTAGAAAAGGAACATAACTGAAAGATGTCCTGAGAACACAAACTATTTTTTAGGTTAAGTTCTCAAAGCCACAGTGCTTTTTTAGGTTGCAACTTTCATGGCTCTGGGACAAAGGCCATGACCCCCTGTATGACACCATAGGTCTTACAAAATTGGGGTTTGTGCACACTGCAGACCTTTAGCTTTGGGCCAGATTCTACATTTGTAGGAAAGTGTGCCTGTATACAGAGCTTTCATTTCTGACTCTCCCAGAGAAACCTGGCCAGGGCAGCTGAGCCAGTACTATGTCCCCATTTTATGAAACAAAAACTGACAGGAAATAAAGTAGGTGACTTGCCAGGACAGCACACTGGGAAAGGGTAAGGTCTTCTCCAACTTGGATTCCCTGTTGCTGTTAAAACTACACTCGGATATCTGGGAAGCATGGTTGACCCTCAGGCTGGGGGCACAGCTGCCGGCTGAGGCAAGGCCTCATCTAAGTAGTTCCCCAACATCACAGGGCTCACAGCTCTGGCTCAGGTCTGAGCAGCTGACTTCTGGAGCCCGCAGATGATGGGTGCTGCACCTGCCGGAGCTGATGCATAAGCAGGGCAACCTTGAAGCAGCTCTCCGACATCATGGGCCATGTTCCCCAACAAGGAGCAGGCTCCACTTGTTTCCTGGGATCGAGTGCTAGTCAAAGCCTGCTTGGTTGGACATGGAGACTTAGCCCCACAGGGATTAGTGTCTCAAAGCCCCAGGAAGTCATTCTTTCTCAGGACCAGTTGGGAAGCTCCCACAGCATAATTCTGTGGCCGCATGAATGCCTCTGACCAGGGAAGGATTTTGGGAAGCTATCCAAGCTGGCTGTCTTCACTGATTAAGTTGAGCAGCTGGTGGCCAAGCCCCTATCTGCTCTGATGCTGTGGTGACCACAATTTAAGCTGCTTGGAGCTAACATGCGTCTCTTTTCAAGGTGGTGTTGCCAGGAAGGAGGCAGCCTGCTACAAAGCAAGAGGCCACCAGCCCCACCAGTCACGAAGATGGCACAGTGGCCCTGGAGGAAGGCTCTGTCCCTACCGTAGAACCAGGCCACCCCGATGGCCTCGAAGAGCACTCCAAAGAGGATGGAAGTGCCAGCTGCGAAGTGGTCCAGCAGTGTGAAGACATAGATGCCGCCCTGGATGAGAGGGGATGCCTGTTAAACTGTGGGTGCAGCCATGCCTTGCCCACAGAAGCCTCACTCACAAAAGCACTTTTCCCAAAGAATAAACCCAGCCTGCAGATTCAGTTTACAGATGCCCTCTCTTTTACTCTCTATAAAGTCTGATTTAATCACTAAAATTAAATCCACACAGTTTCCTAGGGCACATCTGTCATGTAAAAATAAAAAGGACCTCTCCTTTCCTCTTTCAGGGCTCCTGGTGTAATTATAAATAAAAGTAACCAAATTCCAAACGTGGCAGAGCCTTTGTGGGAGCCTGGCCTGGTACCTGGTGGACAGGACCCCTTTTCCCCCAGCCCTGGGAAGGTGCAGAGCCAAGGGCTTCCCAGGAGCTGTCCTGGTGCTGAAGCAACTCGGGCCAGTTCCCCACGCACCTCGGCTCCCTGTGTGTGACCAGGGTTCCCCCGCGTGTGACCAGGGCTCCGTATGATCACAACCATGGGTTCTGTTTGAGGGACGTGCTCTTTGACGTGTCGTGGCTCTGTCTGGCCAGAAGGCCCCAGCACACTGCCCGGCGCCAAACGCCAGTGGCAGTGCCCTGGCCGAGGGCCGTACTCACGTTGGTGACGCAGAAGAGGGAGAGGAGGAAGGTGGCCAGCACTACTGCGAGGGTGAAGAGCTCCCGGTGCCTGTGCAGCAGCTGGAACTCATCGATGAGCCCGGTGATCACCGACTCCATCCCCCCCATCTGCAGCAGACAGAGCAGGGCTGGCTGCAGGGTGGGCGGGATGCCGCAGGGGCTGGGGGTATGCTGGCCACGGAGCTTTGGGGCCCTTAAGAGTGCCCCTGGGGCTTGCCAGGTGGCCATCAGGGTGGGGCCACCGCAGTGGGAGGAGAGGCCACTCACAGCGCTGTCGATCCCCAGGGTCAGTAGCATGATGAAGAACACTGCAGCCCAGGCCGAGGACAGCGGGAGCGTGGCGAGCGCCTCGGGATAGATGACGAAAATCAGGCCGGGCCCTGAAAGCAGAGCCGGGGCTGCTCAGAGCTGTGGCTGGCCTTTCTGCCCACCCGAGGGGCCAGTCCCTGCCAGGGCCTCTAGCCTACATGGTGTGAAACGATGCCCCTGCCTCTTCCCTGGCCCTGAAAAGCCCTCCCTCCTGTGAGCTCAGCAGACCTGGCCCAGGGCCCTAGAAAGTGGGAACCTAGAATCAACCCCAAGGCCTCTGGTCCACCCTGCCCGCCTGTGGCCTTTGCTCCTCCAGGCTGTTCCTGCTGTGCCAGGCGCGGAGCACCAAGAGGAAAGGGGGGCATGGCCAACAGAGGGCTGGAGAAGGGAGGGTCCCGGGGGCCTGCCCTTCTCCCCAGTGGCCCTCGGAGACACCTGCCAGCGCATCTCCTGTGCATCTCGTACACGCACACACACGTGCACACAGATGCTCCTCCACACCAATGAATAATTCTATGTATGATCTTTAGAACCATAAAATACACAGAGACATTATGATTTAGCAGATGCTTCTGAGGGGATGCTGAGAGGGGCGCGTTTCTGCTCACATGGGAGCACCCCTCTGGTCATTCCCTTGCAAACATTCCAGGGGGGGCGGGTGCGCTTGGGAGCCAGACCCTCCTCACCCCCAGCAGGTGGGATCTGCATGGAGGTGAAGGCCATGGGCTTGGCTGGGGGTATGGATGGCGACAGCAGAGGACCCCACCCAGCAGACCCTTAACCCATCTCAGAGTGAAAAGTATTCCCACAGGAAACTGGTAATTGGCCATTTCATGGTCAAGTTTTAAAGATGTGGGTACTTAGGGCCTTAGCACCAACTCGCTTACAGAGATGTAACTTACACACGCTCCCCGCAGCCCAGAGGGAGAAGCACCCGGTGACCTTTCTGGGGAGTCGGACAAAGTCCAGAGCCAGGGTCACCTCCCACCGTGTCTTATGGGCCCTACTGCCAGGCCTGGGTACCCCATTGGAAGGGGCAGTTTCCAAAGCTTTAAAGTCTAAATGCCATAAGCCACGAGCCCAGAAGGTACTCGTCAGCTCAGTTGATGTGGTGTCAATATTCTCACCTTGCATTTCTGCACCTGAGTTAACATTTCACCCTGTTTTCTTGAGAATTAGTGCTATAAATGACATTTACTTTGTCTGTCATGAAATGCAGAGAAGACGTTCAGCTTTACTTTCAGGGGTTAATAGACAGTTTTTGCAAGCTATTGCTGTTTATCATAATAAAGGGCAAAAAGCAGGAAAAATGCATAAATGCAATAGTGAGTAAATTTCAGGGCTCTGAATTTATTTGCACTGTGCTCCATTCTCCCACCTTTATTGGATTTTTCTTCCTGGGGGAAGAATAGGGACTCAGGAAGCACATGCTGAGATCTCCCCCCTGCTCCTGTTTTCCCAGCGATCTTGGAGGTGCCCATTGTTCCCCCAACCTCCTTTTCCTGCTTTCAAAGTGGGGGTCTTAATGCTCAGCTCTCCAAGGACCAGAGGGGATGATGAGGGCTGAGCTGGCTGGCAGCTCAGGACACAGGTGGGGCTGGCCTGTGGCCCCAGGAGGAGAGGGGACCTCCCAGAGAAAGCAGGGAGCCCCTCCCCCCAGCTGGGGAAGACTCTTCACAGCTCCCCTGTGGAACAATCCTGAAGGAAGGTGAGGGGCTGCAGCGACCTCGGGAGACCCTGCAGCTCAGGGCTGCCCTGGTTTAAGGCTGTCTATGCCATGATTCTCCATGCCTATCCCAGGGGCCGTGGCAGTCACAGGCCCCTGGGCCTCCCATCTGTGCTGGCCTCTGGGCTGTACCCTGCCTGCTCTCTGCTCATCCCCGGCCTGTGCACTCCCATCCCAGCTCCCCAGCATGCAGATGCTTGGCATCTCGGGCAGTTGTGGGGCAGCTGGGAACAGGGTTTCCCACTGGCGCCAAGTGTGGGAGAGTTCAGGGATCTCTCTGGTTGTTATCCAAAACCCATCTAAATATGTCGTGGTCACTGGCTATCTGGAGGGAAAAGCTTCGAAACAGACCAACCGCTCACATGGAAAACAGCCCAGCCTCCTTTGGCTGGCCACACCGAGGGTCAGAGGCCAGCTCTCCGGCCCTGCTGCCCGTGTGCCTGGAATGGCTCAGCGCACCCAACCCCGAGGGTAAACAAAGGTGGGGAATCGCACTGTGGGAGTGGCCACCCCAGAGATGGGGAGCAGTCCCTCATCCCGAGGCCCCAGTGGCCTCTGCAAGGACCCAGCTGAGGTCCCAGGGAGCAGGGGCAGGAGGGTGCAGTGGGCCTGGCACTTCCGTCGGGTTACTGTGATCTTCTGTGTGTTCTGGCACTTGAGCACCAAGCTCAGGTTCCAGTCAAGCTTGGGAACAGCCCTCGAGGCCGGGTGCCCTTCCACTCTGCAGGGGAATGAAAGCTGGGTGGTCAGAGCCACTAGAGAGGGCAGAGGTGCCAGGGGGGACTCACCATCCTTGGCCACGTCCCCGATGGGAACACTGTGCTTCTGGGCCATGTACCCCAGGAAGGCAAAGACCACGAAGCCGGAGGAGAAGCTCGTCAGGGAGTTGACAGAGGTGGTGATGATCGCGTCCCTAGAGGACAAGATGCTGCGTGCCAGCATGCACCATGCTGGGCAGCTGCAGTTTCTAGTCATTGCTCCTAACTGACCGCATCTGGGGGTAGAAGGCCTTTGGAGGGGCGCTTTCCTGGACCACACGGCCAGCCACCTTGGGCTGCACTGTGGGAGGTTGCACACTGGGGACGGGGACCTCCCGGTTCTGGGTGTGTCAGCCATCCATGTGCCCAAGGAGAAGCACGTTTGCAAAGTGCCCAGATGCAGAGGCTCAGGGTAGACTCAGGCAGCGCTGTCTGGGGACCTGCCTCCTGAAGCCCAACTCATGTGGGACCTCCTGGCAGTGGTCTGCTTGGCACTTTGCGGCACACACTGTATTTTCACCACATTTTCCTCCTTGTAATGTGAAGGGAAATAAACACAAGCCCATGAAAGTCAGAGAAAGCAGGTCTCAGATGAAACTCTGTTTCTGTATTTAGAAGGCTTTTGGCTCCAGTATGTGGCTGCTGCCAGGGCTGCGGGCACAAGGGGCTGGCATTTCCCCACCTGTCCTGGGGCCAGTCCCCTGGAGGTCTGTGTGCAGGGGCTGGGAAGCCGCCTGGAGGCTCCCCAGCTGCAGGCTGGTGGGGGACACTGGCTTCCTCGTGAGGGCCGTCTTGGGGGAGAAGCCTGACCCTGGGCCTCGGGAGGATGAGGCCAGTGGGGAGCCTGAGAGGAGGGAGGCAGGGTCCTTAACTGGGGACCTAGGAGGCTTCCTCCCGGAGGCAGTGGTGAATACCATCTGTTTCAATTCCTTCCTTAAAGCAAGGATCAACATTTTGCCTGTAGCGTCCCCATTTTAGTTTCCATTTTAAAAGCCCCACTGGCTTAGAGGTTTTGTAACCCCCAGTTTACTGCCCCGCCTTCATCCGGGACATGTTATTCCCAAAAGGTGATGACGCCCTGCCCACCTCTGTAACAGCCCCACTTGATTCTGCCCCCTTATGGCAGGAGCTCAGGACATACCTGTAGCAGTTGTTGGTGAATTTATTGTAACTGGAGAAGGCAATTAGCACCCCAAACCCAACGCCCAGGGAGAAGCATATCTGGGTGGCAGCATCTATCCAGACCTGCACAGTGCCAGAGAGAAGAGAAGGGGAGAGGCCTCAGAGACACTTGCAGGAGGCACAGGTCACCCAGCGAGGGCTGTGCAGTCACAAGGCAGCTGTGCAAATGACCCCTTAAATCAGCACTGTGATTGGTGGCAAATGCCATCTTGGAGCGTGAACCTTCCTGTGCCACTGGTCTGCAGAGCATGGGGAAAGGGGCTGCATCATTCACCATTTCCCTCGACCTATCAGTTCCACAGAACCAGAGTTGATCTGGTCCATAACCTTTGTGACAGAGTTAATTTGTTAAAATCCTATGTGACGTTGATACCTCAATTGGACATACACCCACTAACACCCACTTTGTACCCTCCCACAGCATCACAAACACATGGCACACACCAGGACATGGCGCCCACATGCCCAGCAGCGTTCAGATGCTCTGAGGGCGGCTTACACACATGGAAAGTGAAGGCAGGTAGCCAATAACTGGACCAATATGCTATTTAAAAAGTCAGACAACCTGCTTGTGTCAGGGCATGTGGAGACTGGTGAGGTGGGTGCCCACCGCCCCCCTGTACAGCCTTGGCTGGAGGCAAGAAGCAGCCACTGGAAACCCTCCTTCCCTGGAGGAATCAGCCTGGATGGCCTGGGCTGGACCTGCTTCCTGAAGGGTCTGGGGGCTCTCTGGTCTGGGGGCTGCCAGTGCACATCCATGCAGGCCACGGTACAGGCCTGTGGGCTGGGACACTCAGTGGTGAGGCCTGAGCCACACTGGGGAGGCAGGGTGTCCTCGGAGGGCCCCAGGGCAGCTGGCGGAGTGGGACTGAGCAAGAGAGGTAGACGTGGGAGGGGCAGGGGAGGCCGGAGCCCCAGGCTCAGGGAGCTGGCTCCTTGCCCTGTTTCAGGACCAGTAGGGCCCCTGTCCTGGGGGCTGCAGGCCCAGAGTCTTGGGGGTCACCCGGGTGATGGGGTAAGCAGGTTTATAGGCATCAGGCGGGGCCTCAGCTAAAGGCTCAGGGTGGCCAGGTAGGCAGTGGGCCAAGGGGCCCCCACTTTGCTACCTCGTGTGCCTCTTGTGCAGGTCATTGACCAGTTCACCTGACCAGGAGGTGGCTGTGGGCAGAGCCAGTGTTGTGGAGGGGATCCTACCTCTTGCTCAGCCTTCACTGGGCCGGTGCCACCCCAGGGCCTTTGCTCATGCTGCCCACCTGCAGGACCTCCTGATGACTATCCAGGCTCTGCTTGCCTCCCCCACCATCCTTATTCTGGTCCGTCCAGCTGCCCATGCCCGCATGTCCCCCTTCTCTCCCCAAGCTCTGCCACATGGGAGGGGCCAAGTCAGAGTCCAGTGCACAGCAGGGCAACATGCACCTGCTGAATTTACAGGGTAAGGGACACATTCTGGCTGAGTGACGGCCTTTGCAATCCCGACACATGGGGCACACAGCCATGTGCCCTGCAGGGCTGTGAGCAGAGGGCATACTCACAGAGGCCTCGCAGAGCCGGTGGAAGTCGACGCTCAGGTATGCTTTGATGCCATCAATGGCTCCAGGAAGGGTGATTCCTCGCAGGAGCAGGGCGAAGAGGACCACATATGGCATGGTGGCCGTGATCCACACGACCTGGGAGAAGATGCGTCACTGGCTGCACGGCCACCCGTGGACAGGGAGGGCGCACAAGTCACCCTGAGGGTTTGTGTGAGGGAGAGGTGGCCTCTGACTGGGAAGCCCCACATCCCAGACAGTCACAGGCCACCAGCTCAGCAAAAGCCCACTGGAATGAGACTGCTGCTCCCTCCCGTCTACTGCATCTTTACTGGGGGTGAAGGCGGGACAGACACTGCCCAGAGGAGCATCTTCCTGCATTTGGCCCAGTGCAGGTGGCAGCAGTGGCTGAAGCCCTGATGAGTAAGGATTTGCATCTATGGTGCAGACGTGCCCCTGGATTGGTGGTCAAGGGCAGACCTGGGGTCCTGACAGGCTCCTCGCATTTCACTGCAAGTGCCTCCCCCAATGCCACCTCGGCTGCCTGTCCACCCCCCAGGCCCTCTCGGCCACCTGTCCACCCCCCAGGCCACCTTGGCCACCTGTCCACCCCCCAGGCCAAACTTGGCTGCCTGTCCACCCCCCAGGCCCCCTCGGCCGCCTGTGCACCCCCAGCACCCCTCCAGGCCCTCTCGGCTGCCTGTCCACCCCCAGCACCCCTCCAGGCCCCCTTGGCCGCCTGTCCACCCTCTGTGGGTGAGGCCTGCAGCCTCACCTTCCCGGAAGTCTTCACACCCTTCCACAAGCTGAAGTAGAGCAGGATGATGACCAGCACCAGGCAGGACGCGAGCTGCCACCGGGGAGGGCCCAGGTCGTCGATGCCGCGGCTCTCATGGAGGTGCAGCACCCCGCGCCTGGAGAGAGGGGGTGCTGGAGGGCTGCTGCCTCCCCACCGGGACCCGGGCCCTGCCCTCCCTCCTCAGCGTGTGGACAGTGCCCTGCCTGACGGACCAGAGATGTTCAACCCGGTCAGACCCACAGCCTGAGTGAGATGCAGGGTCTACCCTTGGAGGTGAGTGGTCACAGGGCTCCTGGCCTCTTGCCGCAGCACCCCTGCTTTTTGGAGCTGGTGGAGAGAATGTGCACAGTGGGTATTGAAGGAAAGGAGCTGTAGAACAGGGTGGGGCAGGCCCTTTGAAGGGGTGCTGGTCAGTGGACACAGAGACACACAGCACAATGTGCAGGGGCCCGTGCCGCTCCCCGAGGGTTGGCTGGGGCTGCTCACTTACAGGGCCCCAGCTGCTGGAGGAGGGTCCTACAGGGCAACTCAGGATGCAGAGGGGATTGTCATGAGGGCCACGTGGAAGGGGGCCAGGCTGGGGGAGCGGTCCCTGTGGGCCAGTAGGGCCCTGGCCTGCTTCTGCACAGCATTGCATCAGACCCTCACATGGCCATGTGGGCACGTGCCCCTGTGGCCGCATTCCACAGTTGGGATCTGGAATCGAGGACAAGTTGCCGGCAGTGTTGCTGGCCCGGGACATGGGGAGCTTCACTGCCCGAATGTGCTGAGGTCCCCAGGAAATATTCATGATGTGGTAGATGCTGTAGACCCCAGCTTTCCAGAGCTTTCCACCAGCCACAAGTACTGTGGGGCCACGTTGGAGGAATTCGGGTCTTTACTCCAGAACCACAGCCACGCTCCACATGCTCACCTCATCAGCCTGCAGGTGTGGCCCTGGTCACTGGTGGCCGGTGCTGCCACGTCCAAACTTTCACCCCTTTGCTGTCATCTTTGTTTTGGAGCAGAGCCACCCCCTGGAGGGAAGGGGCCTCCCCACGCTGTCTGCTGCAGACTCCCCGTGAGGTCTGGAGGATGGAGCTCCTCTGGGGTCGGAGGAGGCTGCTGCTCAGAGGCCACTCAGCCTGGGAGGCCTGCCTGACCCCTGGCCACCCTCTGGAGGCCTGCCCCCCAGTACCTCTTCTGGAAGTAGAATTCCCAAGGCTTCCTCACCCCGTTTCCCCCCACCCCCGCCTCTAACAGCCGGGGCTCTGTGGTTGCTGCCCAGCGCCTGCCTTATCACCGAGAACCTCTATCTGCCAATGGCAGAGGTCCGTTTGGGACAATACCACTGAGCAAGACCACATAGCAGGATGCCCAGACCCACCCCTCCACAGGTCCAGCTGCCCCTTGGCACCTTTGCAAGGCCTCACATACATGCTGTTACCCACTTGACCCTGGTGGCAGGTGGCCAACTACTGTTTGCCTGGGGATGGGGCACGGTGGCCTGTGGGCATCTTAGCCTCCTAGTCCCCAGAGAGCCAGCTCGGCAAAAAGCATGTGGCTCACTGCGCACCCGCCCGCAGAGCGGCTCCTGGGACATCACACGCGCCGGCTTTGCCTCTAACCTCTTCAAGAGCTGTGGAGTTGGCACCTTGCCTGTCCTGGCTCCCTTCCAGCCCCGAGAATGAACTGTCACCTTGCTCTGCAATGGTTGGAAACCCCACAGACAATGAAGAGGGCAGGACAGGGCCAGTGAGAGCAGCCAGCCGGAGACAAGCTGAGGGGCCCCTACTCTGAGAGCAGCGCACAGCCTTGCAGGGTGGGGAGGGCACGTATAGCTGGTGGCTTGGGCTGAAGCGCAGAATTTCTGCCACTGTAAGTGGTCCGGAGGACCAGACAGCTATGGCCCTGGACGTCATCAGCCTTGGGGATGGTCTAACTCCCACTCTCTGCTGGAGGCTTCTCAGGTGAGCTACTTACCGTCTTGGTTCTTGGTGACAGCGGTGCATTAGAGGAGCACCAGGCATGCTCAGGCACACGTGCGCTGCTTGCTGAGCCCCCAGCAGCCCCTCTCACCCCTTCTGCACACAAGGTTCCTGGGCAGGGAGACTGTAAGTATCCGCCCGACCCGAGTCAGGCCCAGGACGTGCAAGCGGACAGGCTAGCTCAGGACGGCACTCTGCGGGGTGGGGGTACGGCTGTTTGGGACAGTGAGGGGCCTCCACTCTGGCCATAAGGGAATGATGCCACAGACAACTGGGAAGCTGCACAAAGGTCACCTCGCAGTGTTTTCAGACATGGGACAGGAGGTGGCACAGGGCTGAAACCCCCAGGAGAAGGGCATGATGAGGTGAGCGCGGTGAGGCCTTAGCCCTGCCTGGAGGCCCCTGCGGCAGGCGGTGTCCTGACACAGCTTGGAGCTGGGCCAGAGCTCAGGCATCAGAGGTGCAGGCAGGGGTCCCCCCAACACCCACAGCTCAGCTTCAGGGTCCCACTTACTCAAAGTATTCGGCAGCGGGTGTGGTCCTGAAGGTGTTGTTGGGGCCCTGGGTGGAGTTACCGGGGGGCATGTCCAAGCAGCTGGCGCTGTTCCACGTGTGGTTGCAGCGGGTCCACGGCAGCTCCGTGGCAAAGGAGGAGAAGAAGTAATGCAGCGCCCAGGCGATGATGACGTTGTAGAAGAAGCCCACGTACAGCGAGATGAGGATGACCGTGAAGCCCACGCCTGGGGCCGGCGAGAGCAAAGGCCGTGTCAGCAAGGCCGCCTCAGGAGGCCTCCCCGACCCGAGCCGGCGGGTTGCCCGCATCCTGAGACGGGCAACGTCTTTAATACCAGGGGGCGGCTAGCGGGGGGCAGCTGCAGACTCCCTGTCACGATCGTGGATCAGGGCTGTGCCCCTTCCAAGCAGCCACAGCCATCTGTGACCCCCAGAGACATGCAGGGTCACCTAGGGCCACCCTGGTAGGGCCAGGTCACCCACACACCCACAGGCCGAAGGGCCATCCCTGCTATCCACGGCCACTCGCAGCCACTCAGGACCGACCAGGGTCATGTAGGGCCACTCTGCCCAGGGTTACCTGTAGGCCACAGGTCATGCAAACCGGTCATACCCATGCACTGCCAGCCCCAGGGCCATCTGGGGACATCCAAGGGTACAAAGCACCAAGAGTCAGTAAACCTCCAAACCACCCAGGGCCACCCAGGAATATGCAGTATCCCCCAGGGCATCTGTGGCCAGCACTAAAGGACAGCTAGGCTCCCTCATGGCCACCCACAGCCACCCAAGCTCATCAGGACCATCAAAGGCACCCAAGACTGTTCATGGCCACCTGGGGCCATGCACGGTCACCATGTCCAACAGGCTGCCCACAGGCCGTTTATGGCCACCTGTGGCTATTCAAGCCCCTCAAGGCCAAGCAAAGTCATCTGGATTTCTTCCTAGCTACCTACAGTCATCCAACCTCACCAGGACCTTGCATGACCACTCAGGGTCACCCAGGGCCACGCAAAGCCAACGAGGGCCACCTAGGCCCATACGTGACCTTCCAGAGCCTCCTCAGGCTCCCAGGGCCTTTCAGGGTGACATTTCCAGGGTCACAAAACCTGTGATTTGGGACTGGTCATCAAGGGGCTCCGGCTCCTGGTGAGCTGGAGCAGGTGTGGTCTTGGGGCTGTGCCACCCTGATTGCTGGGAGGTGGGTCTGGCATAGAAGGCCTCCTCCCGCTACCGAGGAGCCCCTCCGATGGCAGGTGAGTGCCGCCATGCTGCCACCACCGTGGCTGGCTTCCACGGGCTCCTTGCAAGTCCTTCCAGTCCAACATTCCTCCTAGGCTTTGTTGGTAGGGTAGATTTAATCCCCTTCACTCGATCCTGGTTAAGTGTCCTGCTCTGTCTTGCCTGCTTGTGGCTGGGGACAGAGCACGCCTTCAAGGCGACAGTTATAGGAAGTGTCTTGGGTTGTTTCCATGGCCATAACCTTGGGAGAAGCTAGTCTCAGTCACAGGGTATTCATTAACATTCTCTTCCGTCCCTGCAAGCAAAAAGGGGCACTGATGTTTACTTGTGTGTGTGCATCAAACAGAACCTGGGTCAGAAGCTGCCAAACGAAATGGGCTCTGGTGTGTAAGCCCTCTTGAAGCCGTGCTCCACCGCAGTGATGGTGAGACCAGGACTGTTCACTTTGGAAGGCTTTCTCCAGCATGGAACTGGTTGGGGTTAACCTATACTGCAGCTCTGCTCTCTGGGCCCCTTAGGAGAAGCTGAGCTGTGATTTATAGGAAATGTGTCCAGGCAGCCGTGTTTTCGACTGTGTGTCAAGTCCTTGGCTTGAAATGCAGGGAACTGAAAGGACCTTTTGATCAAACACCAGAGCAGATCAGACCCATCCGGAGAAGAGGCGACTTGCCTTGGTCCCTCCCCAGCCCGCTGCTGTGTGCACAGCCCTCCATCTGGGCAGGCCAGCCTTCCTGGCCTTCCCAACAGACTGGCAGGTCTCTGCCAGCTGATGTGGCTCCCAGAGCAAATGGGCAGGCCCCAGGCACCCCAGTGGCAGGGATGGGAACAGGGGGATGGAGCAGGAGAGCGGGGCGGGTGTGGGGCTCCCTCTCCCCAGGCCCCAGAGAGGACACATTCGGGTGCTGAAGCCCCCTGCAGCTTCTCGGGCTGCATGCCCACCTGAGGGGCTCTGGAGAGACTGTCAGGGTGTCCAAGGATGTCTCACAGTCCCTGACGCCACTCACCCTTGTGTGGCCCTTCCTGGGTGGACCTCAGAAGTCAGGTGCAGGTGTGGCTCCCAGGCCCAAGGGAGAGGATGGGTCAGGGAGGCAGCCTGGCTCTGTTTCCACAGGAGGAAGCCTCCCAGGGGTGCAGATGGCCCACCAGCCATTGAAGGGCTGGGTGAGCATGTGGCTCCATAATGCTCACTTAGGGCATTTTAACTTTTGGCCTCATTTGCCATGTGTTACCCCAACTTAACGAGACGTGAAAATATGTGCAACATAATTAATTTTTTTTAAAGACAAAAAAAGGAACGAGAAGGCACTTTATCGGGGTGTCCAGACCCGCATGGTCTTGCCTTACCTAATCTAAGGAGCAAAGACAATCTCTCAAATGGGCATTGTATGGACAAAATGTAATCTAAGTGATCAGGAACTTGCCTGCTGGGAATGGTAGCTTTATTAGGGTATTAAGCTGTTGACAGCATCTGCTCCTTGAAAATGGATGTCTGATGTTCTTGCATTGATTTATGTCCTCAACACGCAAACACAGCCCTGTGCCAATAACTCAGATTCCAAAGTACAGCGTTTGAACTTCTGCAACTTCAGATTCCTTCAATCCTGTTATGAGACAGGTGACCAGACTCCTCCGAGATCTCACGCAGGAGGGAACCTGGCACTCCTTCCTGTGGCCACACTCGGCCCCGGGCAGCCATCCCCACAGACGAATGGCCAGAGCTGGACAAAAGCTGACTGGTGCAGCGTGATGCCGGGGCTGACTCGGAGAGGGTAGTGGGCTGACCACGTACGCATTGCTGGGAGTTGGTGGGATCCTGCATCTGTTCTTGACTTCTCTCTAGTGGGCACTGGGATTCGTTCCCGCTGGGAGTCAGGTTTCCCATATTAGCCCAAAGTTGTTAGGATAAGCAGTCCTTTGATGTCCTTGGAAATTGCTTATTGACATTTTATAAACTGCAATCTACAACTTCACTTTGGCAGCCTCGTTAGGAGATTCTGTTTGTGGTGGGCCACACATGGGACTCAGCTTTGCTCTGCTGCCCAGAGCCCCGGAGCCACCATCCTCCCATCCTGCAGACGCCCTGCGTAGCATGGTGCTCAGCAAAGAAGCACATTCACTTTGATTTAGTGCTGACTGCCTGGTGGGAGGTGGGCGCAGGGCATGTCACGTAACACTGATGACAGCTCCGACACCAAGGGTCAGTTCTTGGAATCTGGGGGTGCAGAAGTGGTGTCCCCACAATCTGCACAGCACAGGGAGGCCCCCTCCTCCACATTTTGCTAGGACAGGCACCCTCAAGCTCCCATTCAGCCCCTTAATGCTGTGTAAATACTGCCATGGGGCAAGTGTGTGGCAGCCTGGCACATGACACGTTAGCTGCCCAGCAGAGCCTGGAGTAACATAATCGGCTTGTGCAAACGCACAAGCAGTGGCCCAGCCTTGGCACCGGATCCCAGGGTGCCCATCTCTGTGCTGGGTGCAGGTGGGGTGGGGAGGGAGGCCTCTGTGCTTCCACTTTAGGGTGGGTCGGTGAACCATTTCGCTTTGGAAAAAAACTGCTAATGTCTTCAGTTCATCAAGCAGGCCATTAAGAAGGAAGAGTACACGTGCCTGGAGGCACCATCATGCCTGGGCGGCCTCGGGATTTCCGCTGTGGGGGCCCTTTTCTCTCTGGAACCTGACCTTGGCAGCTGGGAGCGGCCCCCACTCTCCAGCTGGACTGGCTGCCATCTCAGCAAAACCCACTGACTGCCCACAGCGTGATCTTGAAGACCTATGGGGCTTCTGCTCTTCCCCAAACACACCAGCTTTTCAAGAACTGAGAAAATTCAAAGACTGGATCTTCTAATAGACGTTTTCTTAATGACCCTGGCATCTGACCCAGGTACCTCCCACATGTCTCTTGTTGCAAGTGCCCCTGAATCCCCCCTGAGCCGCCAGCTCCTGAGCGGGGGTGTTGACCTGGGGGCAGGCATGTCCCTGCAGTTAGACTGGGGGGCCACACTGGCCTGGGGTAGAATCCTGCCCTGTCTCTGATGAGGTGACAGGGGTGTTACTCAATCCCTTGAGTTCTCTGTGTTCACATCTCCAAAATGGAGACGATGCAGTGTGGGCCTCCCCCAGGGCTCTCGTGAGGAGGGAGCGAGGTGCCCAGGGAAGGTTAGCCTCTTGGCACACCCTGGCTCAACACGGTGTGTTTGCTCGGTGGAGTTGCAGTAGTTGCCTGAGGGTACAGTGAATCGCTCGAGAGGGAGAGAGATGACAGTGGTGTGGGCATGGCTGAGAGATACCCAGACAGGTGGGTAGAGGTAGGTGGGTAACAGGTGCTAGGGAGGTGGCAGGGGATGGATGGCTGACATGACAGAGGACAGGTGGGCATTTTATGTACCATTTCAACAGGCCTACAAACAGCAGTGCTAATGCGTTACAGGATGGCCCTGCCCAGGAGCAAGGGGTCCTCGGTCAGCACAGACCCTTAAGGCAGGACCAGAATTAAGATGTGTGTCCACCTGCACAGACACCTCGCAAAGCAGGGCCAAACACACGCACCTGGGGTGGGTCTGCTGTGAAAGCACTAGGGCCATTGCTGGGGTCTGCGCCTGCCAGGGTGCAAGGCATCCATTACCTTTCAGGATGGGGCAGATCTTCCAGATGCCGGCAGCCCCTTCCCTGTGGAATTGCCCGAGGGCCAGCTCCATGTAGAACAGTGGCATGCCAGCGATGACCATGAAGAGCAGGTAGGGGACCAGGAAGGCGCCTGTGGGCAGGACAGCACGTTCAGCCTGGGGACTCAGAAGGGCCCACCTGTTGGCCCTGGAGCAGGGCCTGGGGGCCCAGCCGACCGCACCTCTTGGGCAGGAGGGTGCTCCCTTGTCTCCAGAAGCTCTGTACAGCCATCTTCCAAAGGGAAGTCCCAGGCTGGGCTGGTGAGCCTCCCACCTCCATGCCCAGCACCCACTGTAACCAGAGCCCTAACGCATCCACACTGAAAGCCCCAACCATCCTCCACCCCAAGTGACAACATCAACCCCGGGAACTGGGCAGAGTAGGCCCTTGCCTGCCCAGCACTCCTGGCCCTGCCCCCTCCTTCCTCTGCGGAAATGTCTGCCCCTCTTGAGTCGTGAATCCTCCAGCATCCGTGGTCCGGCTCTGACCTGTGTAGGCTCTGTCATCCATCCCTAGCTCCCAGCATTCAGATCCCCAGCATGAATCGGGGACTGTGCCTGACAGGTGCTGCCCAAGGGGCCATCCCTCTGGGGTGGCCTCGACCCCTTGAGCTGCTGCTCACTTTGAGCAAAGTTCAGGGTCCCACGGGCTCTGCCTTGTAAGGGCCTCTTGCCCCAGATGAGGGGGGCTTTGTATGGCTCCTCTCCTGGGATAGGGAGGGGTGGCAGGAGACCCCACAGCTCTGACTGCCACGGGTGCTTACTGTACCTGCCCTGGCCCCCACCCTCAGGATGGACACAGTAATGCTGGCCTCCCCACGGGCACACCGTCAAGTTCTTCCACAGCCTTCCAGAGCGCAGGGAAGAGTGACCAGGGAGTCACGGAGGCCAGCAGGGGAGGTGGGCTCATGGGAAGTGTGTGCCGCCTTAGCTGACTTCCCCGCTTGAAGTGCTCGGGGGTCCTTGCCCCTTAGCTTCCGCTTGTGCAGAGGCAGCCACAGCTCTAGGACTGGCTGAGTTCAGGGGGTGGTGGGAGCAGGGCCTGAGATGGATAGGCACATTTCCAGGGCACCTCCACGCCAAGTTTAAGGGCCTCACACACCGTTACATACTATTCTAAACTGGACAAAGACAACCTTCTTTGGGCCTTTGAGAATTTCCTTCCATGGTGACAATCACCTCTGGAAACAGACAACAGAGGCTTGGAGCCTCCCACGACCAACTCCTGGTTCCTGCTTTCCTGGCGCCAGTGTCCTCAACTCTGAAGTACAGATTCAGGTGAGACTGCTCTGAACTTGATGGCTTTGTGCCATCTTTCCCGGGAAGCCTGTGCCCTGCCCAGCGTGCAGGCATTTCTCCAAGGCCCTGCCCGCAGCCACCCAGGCCAGTAGGGACTCACCGCCACCGTTTTTGTAGCACAGGTAGGGGAAGCGCCAGACGTTGGCTAGGTCCACCGCAAAGCCAATCACAGAGAGGAGGAAGTCGATTTTCTTGCTCCAGGTCTCCCGTTCCTGGGGCTCCAAGGGGGACTGCGGGGTGCTGACGAGGGTGGAGTTCGTGAGCTGCACCCCATTTTGCTCCTTGACCAGGACAAGTTCCACGGCCTTCGGGCCTGTGGCGTTGGGCTCCTTAGCTGGGGCCACCACGGAGGACATCAGTCCCACTGGGCATCTGCTTGTGCTCATGGGCAGACTGGACTCTAGGAATCCCGTGCTTCTCCCCTTGGGCTTCGGCCAGCATTAAAAGGAAACACACAGAGGAACACACACCGATTCAGCAGCTGGAACACACTGGATCTAGCAGCCCAGTGGCCGGGGCAGAGATCTGAGGCACTCACGTTCATTCCTTTGGGGTAGAACAAGTACGTTCCCTGCACTCAGCTGACCCAGCCAGGGTTGGGGACAGGAGATGGCTAGTTCCTGCAGGGCCCAGGGGGCCGGACAGGCTGTGGACCCCCGGGGCAGACATCTGCTTTGCCCCCTCCTTCAGCAGTCATCTCCATTCCTATCACCCTGCAATGCTGCGTAATCTCTAATTTCACTTTTAATAGTAATGCAGGCAGTCTCCTCCTCCCTTACATGGTTGAGGAGTAATTTTATGATCTTTGAGTAGCAGTAGAGGAAGGCTTTCTAGCAGTCCACACGTGTACTTTATACTCAGCAACAAAAGTAAAGAGCAAATTTTACAACCACGCAGCAATTCAAAGTTCAAAATAACAAGCTTGATGGTGTCTTCAAGGAGCCCGCACGGCCCACATCCACCTGCTACCAGGCTCATGGGCTCCACCTGAAAGTGTCGTGTAAGGGCTCGTCTGCAGGAGGGAGGGACTAGCTCCTTTACTTAGCCACTTGACTAGGGAAACTGATGCCCAATTACCTTCATAAAATACTGGTAACATGATCAAGGAGAACAGAAGAAATCACACAGTCACAGCCAAAGCAAGGTGGGCCCTGCCCGCCAAGACTGACTTCAAGTTTGGCTTCTGGCATTTGGATCCATCTGCTTGTTTCAGCTATGCATGCATATGTGCAAACACACACACACACGCACACACACACACACACACACACAGTGAAGCAGAAGATTAAGGATGGCAGCTGCAATGGGGTAATTTTCCCCTGCGTCCAAGTTTGGACAGCACATGTTATTTTATGTACCACTCTCCTGTGGCCCCTTCATTCAGGGTGATGAACCCAGTACATTCCCGAGGTGTAGGGAAAACTCGCCAAAGCTCTGCTGTGCCTGCAGAGCCAGTGGGACTGGGGCCAGCGGGCTGAGAAGAGGGCAAATCCCAGCCTCGTTGCTCTGACAACCACCCTTGCGGATGCGCGGGATGCCCACCAAGGAAGCCCACGCTCAGCCCTTGGGGCGAGCCGACCCCGCTCCTGAAGCAAGCCTAAGAGGTCAGTTTCGAGTACAGAAAGCAGACGTGGCCTCTTAGCGTTGTTCTGCACCCGGAACGGGCAACAGCTAGCTGACACGCCCGTCCGCCGCCAGTCCTGCTCTCAGCCTGCGCGAGCAGAGCGCGGCATCTCCGCCCCCACCCCAAACTTAAAAATCAAGACGAAGCGCGGTAAGATGAAGCTTCGTTGGGCAGCGCTGCCTGGTTCCAAAGGGAGAAACCGGCCGCCACGAGCCGCGCGCACCTGAGCTGGCGCGGCGGGGACTCGGGCGACGGCCTCCCCTCCCCGAATCGCGGAGCCGCCCGCGGCCCCGGGACAGGGCGCTCAGGGGCCACCCCAGGCCTTCGGCCCTCTCTGCTGGGCGTCTCTCTGCCGCTGGCCGCCTGCGCTCGTGAATGCGCTGTGGGGGCGCGCAGCACAGCCCGAGTGCTGGCGAATTTTAGAGACGACACCGTCTGCCGGACGCAGCGCCCCCCGACGGCGCTCGCCGCCACCAGGAGCCCCTGGGCCGCAGCGTTCGGGGTTCCCGGAGAAAGCGGCGCGCGCGGAGGATGCGCGCGGGGCGGCCCACGGGGTGCCCGGCCTTACCTGCTCGCTGCAGCCGCAGCCTCGGCTCTGGGGGTCGCGCTGCGCAGAGTCCGAAGAGGCTCGGACTCCGATCCCGCTGCGCTGGGCGGACGCGACCTCCGGGCTCTTAAGTGTCGCCGGGCCCGCCCCGCCCCGGGTGGGCGGAGGACCAGCCTGGGCCGCGCCCCTTGTCCGCCCCCACGTCCCGGACCGCGCAGAGGGGGCGGCGGCCGCCAAGCCGCGACCAGCGGGGCTCTTCTCCTGGGCCTGCGCGTACTCAGGGAACGGGGACACCTCCGGGCCCCGGGCGTCGCAGGACGCGGACGGGCGGGTCCCCGGCGGGACCAGTCTAGGGTCACCCTCCCACCCTTGCCCGCACCCCCGGGGCTGCCTGCGCACCAGTGCCGTTGTCTGGGGCAGACGGCCGGTGAGGACGGAGCCGGGCGCACGGGGACCGCCAGGCGACCCGGGCCTTGAGCACGTCCGTCCCCGGGGCCGCCCCGCCCCCACCCTGCTGCCGCCCCCCACCCTTCTCTCCCTGCTCCGGTGCCTCCTGAGGTCCGGCGCTCTGGAGACATCTCCTCGCCGAGTCCTCGGAGGAGCTGGGGGCTCGGAGGGGGTATCCCGGGGCGCGCGGGTGGCGTGCTGCCGGTCCCCAGGCCCTGCCCTATCCGGTGCCTCTTCCCTCCCTCCTCCCGCCGTGCCCCCGCGGCTCTGCTCGGAGATAACCGGCGGTGGCCGGTCAGGGCCGAGGAGACGCTGGCTGCCCCCGCGCAGGACCCGGTGACCAGGCGGCACTGGGGAGAGGCGCGCAGGGTGTCCGCGCGCTTTGCCCGCAACCAGCGCGCATGGAATGAATGCAGAGGGCTCAAGTCACGCTGGCACCGGAAAACGATTTCCCCGGCCGGGCCCGGAAAGCCGTGGCAGTGGGTATGGACTCAGGACCCAAGGGCTCGGAATCCTCTTTGGGAAGGGACCACGTCAAGATTTTTACATTCTCCACGGGGCAGAACTGGGGCCCCAGGCTACCCAGCAAGGCCCAGGCCTCCCAGGTGTGGAGTGTGGTCAAGGCTAGTGCTGGTGCCCCGGCTCTGAGCATCTCCAGCTCAGCATGGACCAAACCCCAGAAATTAACCTTCCCTCCTTCCATGCATCCTTTGATTTTCCCTCTGGGCATGCGCTGTAGTGGGTATCCACTGCAGTGCCCAGCTCTCCACTCTGGGCCACTTGTCCCTGCTCAGCAGTGTCCCTTTGTCAGGAGACCTCAGAGCACCCTGGCTTCTCAGTACCGTCTCCCTCACTCCCTGGAGCCTCACTGCCTTCCCCAAAGCCTCCTGACCTGGGGGCTGGTGCCCAACCAGCGCGCTCAGAAACTGCTCTTCTGGGCTCAAGTAGAATCCAGCAGGAAGACCATGGTTCAGTGTTTCAGACCACTTCAGCTGCTATAACAAAAATATCAAATACCGGGCAGCTCAGGAACAACAGAGAAGCTCTGGGGGCTGGAAGTGTGAGGCTGGGTCCCCTGACCGACCTGCTGTCTGCTGCAGATCCACTTCCTCCTTCACAGGGACCTTGTCCCAGGTCCTCACAGGGCCCAGGGGGAGGTACCCTACTGTGTCCTCCCAGAGCAGAAAGGGTGAAGGGCTCCCCAGGGTCTCTTATCAGGGCACTAATCCCATTCTAAGGGGCCACCCTCATGACCTAATCACCCCCAGAAAGCCCACCTACTAAACCATCACACTGGGGGTTAGGATTTGACATGAGAGAGAGAGAGAGAGAGAGAGAGAGAGAAAGAGAGAGAGAGAGAGAGAGTGAGAGAGTGTGTGGTTTTGCAATTTGGTCCATAAAACTCAGGGAGGTGACAGGGATTTCAGAAGGTGGTGACATGCCACCTTGAATCTGTCATGCATCGATGGCACCATGCAGAGGCAGTCTTTCCCACACGTGTTCAACACAGGTTTCAAGAGAAAGGAGTAATCTGGTGATGGGGCCTTAATCACCAGGTTCAAGGAGTCAGGTGGCTACTGAAGATTTTCCTTTAAATAAGGAAATGGAGGCAGAAGGGGGGCAGTCCAGATCTGTATGTCAAACTCACACACATTGATCTCTTTCTGTGCTGGAGGCTGGAAATCGGGGATCAGGGTGCTGGTGGGTTCTGGTTCTGGCGAGTCCCTTCTAGGTGCATCCTCATGTGGTAGGGGTGCTGGGGGTCGGGGGGAGAAGTGCCCAGGGGAGTGCACTCCTATAAACTAAGATGTTCATATTATTAGAAATTAGTTATGATGTCATAGGATTTCATTTCCTTTCTTAGTTTTTCTGTTTTCCCTTGAGTTAATTATTGCCTGTTTTTTCATTGGTTGATTTTCCTACCATTAATTCATCTCCAAACCCTGCAATGGAAGTATAACTCTCTAGATAGATTAAAACACAGCAGGCAAGCTGTTGGGTTTTGGTGGTGGTGCTATTTGGAGGCTTCTGAGTCTTTGCTCCCGTCTTGTGGTGGCCCTGGCATTGCCCATGATAACCCAGGGAACGCTCTCACTTGCTGTCCTCTGCAGGGCTCTGGTTTCTAGGATCCATGTGAGCTGCATTATATGCCGTCATCTTGGCATTACCACCCCTGCTTCTCAGATATCCTTGGTACCACAAAGTAAACCAGGACTTCTCCCTCCAAGCCCCTTCCCCACATAGTTGCAGGTCAGAGTGTGCCTGCAGGAGACAATCCCATTCGGTTCAGAAGCTGCAAGAGAAGTGGAGGCAGTTGCTCCCTGGCTGCACACTGCTGGGAGATGTGACATTCTTAGCAGCCTCCTGGCGAGCTTTTCAGAGCCACCTGCTCTACCTGAGGCAGTTGCTGGGCAGGGCTCAGCTCCAGGGTCAGCTGCTGATTTCCTCAATGGCGCAGATCAGCACAAACCCTGGTCTGTGTGGCCACTGATGTGCTGAGTACCTCCCATCATGATACTTGCCAGGAGAGACACCCACAGGAGGTGTCCTTCCATGTGGCAGGGGCAGCAACATGCCTTCACAGTCTCACTCAGCAACCCATTAGCCGTCCTCTAGCTCACTGTCATTTTTGGTCATGGAAACTTTATTTCTTGCAACTTCTCAGCATATCACATTGGTTCACTACATTGATGACATCATGCTAAATCAGCCTAGTGAGCAAGAAACAAAACATATTAAGATGCCTTGGTAAAACACATGCTTGCTAAGGATTGAACAAAAGAAAATATAAAAATTCCAAGACTCCCCATCTTGGTGAAGCTCCTGTGGCTCAGTAGGCCTGGAAGTGGTCAGGGTTCATATCCAAAATGAAAGGTGATGTGCTGCATCTGGCGATCCTACTCCTAAGAAAGAGCTACCATATGCGGTGAACCTCTTTGGCTTTTCAGGTTTCCCATATTGGGGATGCTTCTCTGCCCCATTTATGGAATTATTCATTAAGTGTCCAATTTTGAGGGGAGCACACAGCAAGAACGGTCCTGCAATAGGTCTGGATTGTTGAGCAAGCTGCTCTCCCGAGAGACCTGGTGCAGTCGTCAGACTTCAGTGTGTATGTGAGCTACCAGGACCAACTGTTGTGCGCATCAGAATCACAGATTTCTGGGTCTCACCCTCAGGAATTTAGATTCAGGAGGTCTAACGTAGAACCTGAGAGTTTGCATTTTCAATGAGCCCCCAGGTGGTGCTGTTGTGCTGTTTCAGGGCCCAGTGGGGAGCTGGCAGAACCAGTGGGGCGTTGGGACTCCCGGCAGATAGGCACGCCCCTGCAGGAGACTCACGGGGCAGACACTTAGGGCTCTGGGGAACAGCCGGATAGTCCTCTGAAAATACTTATCCTCATTCGGAATAAATATGCTACTGAGCCATAGCACCCCCAGGCAACCTCAGATTTGCTAGCTGTAGATTAATTTATTTTGTCTAGAATTTTATAGAAATGGAAATATACAGTAAATACTGTTTTTGGAAATATTCTTTTCCACTCAACATATTTGAGATGAATCCATGTTGCATGAATCAAGTTATTCCTTCTCATGGCAACGTGGTGTTCATTGCACGGATGGAGCAAAGTCTATTGATCCATTCACTCACTGATGGACATTTGGCAATTACCAATAAAACTACCATAAACACTTGTGCATAAGTCTTTGTCAGGACATATGCTTTCATTTCATGGGTAAGTATGTAGCTGTAGAATGGCTGGGTCATTTGGTAGATGTGTGTTTAACTGTTTTTAAAAACTGTCGAATTGTTTTGCAAAGTGGTTATACCATTTTACATTTCTGTGAAGACCACGTGAGAACTACATCTATTCCACATCCTCACCAACACTTAATATGGTCAGTCTTTTTAATTTTAGCCATTATAGCAAGTGTGTAGTTGCATCTCACTATGGTCTAAATCAGCATTTCTATGATGATTGAGATATTTTAGCAGGCTTTCATGTATGTGGTTGTCATCAGGATGACTTCTTGTCTGGTGTCTGCTCAAATATTTTCCACATTTGTCTTGGTTTTGAGAGTTCTTTACATATTCTGGGTACAAGTCTTTTATCAGGTGCTTTGCAAGTATTTCCCTCAATCTTGGATTGTCTTTTCATTCTCTTAACAGAATCTTTTGAAGAACAGAAGTTGTTAATTTTGTTGAAGACTTATTTATAATTTTTATTCTTTTGTGGATCTTGCATTTTAGTGCTCTATTTGAGAAATCTTTACCTAGACCAAGATCACAAAAATTTTCTCCTAAGTTTTCCTCTAAATTTTTTTAAAAATTCAGGTTGTGCATTTATGCATGTAATGTTTTAACTGAGCAGGTATGAGGCATGGACCAAAGTCCATCATTACAGGTGATGCCCAGCTGTTCCTGTGCCGTTTGTTGCCCAGACATCCTTTCTCCACTGAACTGCCTTTGCACCTTTATGAAAAAACCAATTGGCCTGTATGTGTGGCTTTATTTCTGGACTCGGTCCCTTGATCTATTCATCTGTATAGATGCCAGTACCATATTTGCTATGAATGAACCGTGTCTCCTGCCAAATGCCCTCACCTCCCATGTGACTGCATTGGAGATGGGGCCTTTAGGTGGTAATTATGGTTAATGAGGTTGTCAGGAGGGGCTGTGATCCAACAGGACTGTGGCCCTGTGAGAAGAGGAAAGTCTCTCTGTTCTTGCCATGTGAGGGTACAGCCAGTGGGGGCCACCTGCAAACCAGGGAGTGGGACTCTTAACCAGAACACTGAATTGGTCAGCCTCTTGGTCTTGAACCTCTAAACCTCCAGAAAATCAAATTTTTGTTGTTTAAG